AAAGTAATACTTCCTGATATTATTTTTAAACCTTTGTCCCTCTAATTTAAGACTATGTCCTCTTGTTGTGGTAGTTTTTCTTCTTTTAAATATAGTCTCCTCCTTTACTGTGTTGACTCCCTTTATATATTTAAATGTTTCTATCATATCCCCCCTGTCTCGTCTTTCCTCCAAGCTGTACATGTTAAGATCCTTTAACCTTTCCTGGTAAGTTTTATCCTGCAATCCATGAACCAGTTTAGTAGCCCTTCTCTGAACTATCTACAAAGTTCTAATATCCGTTCCTCAGATGTTGAGGTTAGGACTGTATCTAATATTTTATACTTTGCCCTTGTGGTTTTATACCCAATATGCATTATCTTGCCTATTGCCACAGCTCTGTCCATTTTTCTAGTTTACCTAAATCATTTGCCATTTGGCTTATCCCTACTGGAACATCAACCCTGTTACATATCTTAGTATCATCAGCAAACAGACATACCTTACCATCAAGACCTTCTGCAATATCACTAATAAAAATATTAAAGAGAATGGGTGCAAGTACAGATCCCTGAGGTACCCCACTGGTGACAAGTCCAAGCTTTGAATATAGTCCATTAACTACAACCCTCTGTTGCCTGTCACTCAGCCACTGCCTTACCCATTCAACAATATTGGAATCCAAACTTAAAGATTGCAGTTTATTGATAAGCCTTCTATGTGCAACAGTGTCAAAAGCCTTACTAAAATCTAGGTAAGCAATGTGTACTGCACCACCCTGATCCAATCAAAAAAATCTAAAAGATTAGTTTGGCATGATCTCAATTAAGTAAACCCATGTTGTATATAAAATATTAACCAGCCAATATCCGATGGCAATGACGGGCTGAGAATGCTGAACTAACTCATCACAGTGCTTTAAGCCTATCATTTACATCTTTGGTGGGATGGGCTAATGCATTATATGGAGACTCTAAATTTATCATTTACGTCTTTGGTTTAATTATACATTAATTTCTGATGTCTTGTCTACAGCCTTTGCAAGCCGTCCCCTTTTAACCCCGCCCAGACTTTCTGTTACTGTCCAATCATAGACTTCCCAATGCAGCTCAATGAGACGTCTTTGCTCTGAGCAATTCCTGCCTCTGGAGTTTAGTTCCACTGAGCTAAACAAACCTGGAAGTAACAGGACCAGTTGTCTGGTTGACAGCCAGGGTGTGTAACCAAGTTCATTTATAAAAGTGCTAATTTCTATTGAAATCTTCCCTTCGAGTAAAATTAAATAAAGAGGACACCAGTGGCGTACACATGACCCATGGGGCGAAAATTGATCCGTGCCCCCCCCCCCCCGCGCGCGGGCTGGGCCGCAACACATGGCGGGGGGCACCTGGTCGCAGGGGTTACAGGGCTGCATCATGTATGTACGCCAGTGTATGCATTTTTCACAATACACACACTCAAAGGACATACTCTAGGCACCTGCATCTACTTCAGCTTAAAAGTGGTCTGGGTGCCAGGTTCAGCTAGGTTAATTCCATTTTTCATAAACATAGCAGTTTCAGAGAAACCGCTATGTTTATGAATGGGTTAAGCTCTTCCTCTATTTCCTCTAGCTGCTGTTCTTATTGATGTAGCCAAGAGGCGCTATGCTTCTCACTGTGATTTTACAGTGAGAGCACGCTAGGGAGTCCATAGGGAAAGCATATGAATGCTTTCCATGTGACGCTGGAATAAGTGCTGCTGGGCATTTTGCCGCTACAAGTGGCGATACAGTCAATGGGAGGGAGAAGAGAGGATCGGAGGAGGAGAGCTCTCCGCCCAGCGCTGGAAAAAGGTAAGTTTTACCCCTTTTCCCCTTTCCAGAGCCGGGCGGGAGGGGGTCCCTGAGGGTGTTTTCCTGGCACTATAGTGGTCCTTTAAAGGACCACTACAGACACCCAGATCACATCAGTTCAATGAAGTTGTCTGGGTGTCAGGTCCCTCTAGTTTTAACCCTGCAGCTGAAAATATAGCAGTTTCATAGAAACTGCTATGTTTCACTGAGGGTTAATCCAGCCCCTAGTGGCTGTCTCACTGACAGCCGCTAGAGGAGCACACTGAACGTCCATAGGAAAGCATTTAGTAATGCTTTCCTATGGGCGGTTTGAATGCGTGCGCGGTCGCATTCGGAGCTGAGAGGCTGAGGGATCCCAGCGCCAAGGGAGTCCGGCGCTGGAGAAAGGTAAGTGCTGAAGACACACACACTCTCACTTACAGACGCATACACACTAGCTAACAGACACACACATTTACTGACAGAGGCACAGTCAGCGACAGACATACATACACACTCACTTACAAAACGTACACTCTCATTGACAAACACACACTCACTAACAGACATCAGACTCACTAACACACACTCAGTAAGACACACACAGTAACACACTCACTGACACTCACTAGCAGACACTCACACTAACACTAACACTCACTCAAACACTAACACTAACACTAACTTTTTTTTTTTTTTTTAAATGTAATCCCCCCAGCCTCCTTACCTTTTGGAGTGCTGGGGGGATTCCCTGGGGTCCAGTGGTGGTGCTGCTGGGCTCCTGGGTGGGTGGCTGGTCGGGCAGGCGGGCGCGCGAGGGAGCACTCAGTGCTTCCTCTTCAGCTCCCTCGTGCGCCGCGTAGGGATGCCGGTGCTGGAAGATGACGTCATCTTCCGGCTCCGGTATCAGTGTGGTGCGCGAGGGAGCTGAAGAGGAAGCACTGAGTGCTCCCTCGCGCACCCGCCTGCCTGACCAGACACCCGCCTTCCGTGTGTCAGCAGGGCCAGCCTCGGGGGGCCCTGAGGTGGTCGGCTCCTGGGCCCCCCAGGGGAAGAGCCCTGGGCGTACATACCGGGTCGCAGGGGTGGCCGGGCCCCCTGGTGGGCCGGGCCCGGTCTCAGCCGCGACCCCTGCGACCCTGGTATGTACGCCACTGCATGGAGCCCATTTGTATAATGAAAGACTATGGGAAAGACTTTGGCTCCATGGCAATTGAACTGTATGTGTGTGCTCTGAGCGTCATTCAGTAATAATGTGCGCTCAGATCTGAGCTATCTGGGGATATGTTGAATGTACCTGTTTTGTGCAATGGCTGCACAGTTATGTTTTTATGTATTTTATTGTCCTTTTCTGCCATGTGTTCAATGGAGTTTTGCCTCTGTGCTTCGAGATAATTTGATTACTTCCCAATTATCTCCAGGATAGAAGACTCTGTGGAACTGGTTTTGGTCACAAAGGACTACGATCTATCTTTTGAACCACTGGACCAATTTTTATGATTTTGACGTATGTTTGTATTTGGAGTATGCTGATTATATGTGATGTATACTTTTCAAGTTATGAATAATGTGGAAAAATTGTATTTCTCTGCTTGTTATAATTATATTACCCATTGTGTAAGGTAATTGAATAACAGGCAGAGGGGAGGATTTTGTGTGGGAGTGTCTGAGTGTATTGTATGTGTTTATTGGTTGTGTTCCAAAACCCTGTGGGTGGTACTAATGTGTAAGAATGTGTACATAAGCACAATAAACCCACAGCTCTGTCTGTTCACTGCTTGACCCTCAACACGGAGCTTTGTCTCGTTCTTGGGGGGATTTATTGTATGCTGTTCCAGTTCGACTGCTAGGAGTGTAAACCTATCCGTATGGTTTTTCCTATTCGGCTGTTTACGGCATTCATATGGTTTCCTGTTTGGCGGATTTGTGTTCTGCAGTAGCTGTGCCTGTGTCTCTGGAAGGGAAGATCTACTAAACGGCTTTTAACCCCTTTTATGCTGAGGGTGCCGTTACATATATTCTTTGTGATTTTATTTCACTATTGTTGATTCCTTTTCTTTAAATTGAAGGAATAATCTTTACAGAAGACTTGCTTGCGTTTATATATCCCTTTTAGGGTGATGAGCCTGATATTCACAGATGTTTTGAGTGTTCCATCGCATTATAAATAGTTTTTCGTTAATTTTACTGTATTACGCTATGCATTATCTATATTTCCTTTAGATTTGTTTCTCCTTCTTAAGAAACACTCATTTTTTCATGTTGTAAATATTTTATTCTTACATATTTGTGTTTTTCAAACACTTCCTTGTGGCCTGAGCCATCTGCGAAAGGTCTGAGACATCCCAGGAATCTCAGATGCTAAGTCACTAGAAATAGGACACCCGACAATCGATTTCCAGCCGCAACAGCGCAACAGCACTGAGTGCCCCAATGAATGCAAGCCCACAGCCTACACATGGGGATTGTGGTTGCTAATACCATTGTTCCCTTTAAGTTGTTCACCTTTCTGAGGGAGTGCACACATGATCAGAATTCGTGTACAGGTATTTTGCCGCCAGAAGTCGAGTCAGTGAGTGTGTCTGTCAGTGTGTGTGTGTGTGTGTTTGTGTGTGTGTCTGTCATTGAGAGAGTGTATATGTGTATTTATGAAGCATTAATGTATGTGTCACCATTTATTGGGCATAGAGGTAAAAAAAAATGATGGGTGACATTTATCCATATAACGTTTGCTATTGGTGTCTGTTGATTTGGGTTGTTTGTTTCTCCCATGTGCTTTGGACATATCCAATCATATCAACATAATTTTTTTATAAACTTTTTTATTTTATATTTTTTGAGAAATACATACAAACATTTGAAACATGCAGTATGAAGTAGAACCATTGCATGTAGGCAGGATAGAGGCTTGTTATACATTGAAATATACAAGGTTGTGGAGGACAAGGTCCTGGCCCTGACTGCAGACTCTGTTGTATAAGAATAATCCAGACACTTGTCTTACGTTTGCGTGGCAAGTAGCTGGAGTCAGTAATGGTGTAGATACATTGCTTTGTGCTAGTGCAATTATTGGAGGTGAATATTGAAGTGGGTCTACATTGTGAATGAGCCTATATCTTACAGGGTATGGTGGTGTTTTTATATATCAGTTCTAGGTTATGAGTAAGCATACAGCAAGGGGGGCTTAAAAGGTGAAAGGAATAATGTAGAGGAAGGAATGCGCAGGTGGTTCTGCTGGGAGAAAGGGGAAAGAGGGAAAAGAAAGGGGGTGTATGGGAGGGCATGCAAAATTAGGAGATGTGGATTAGGGTTGGGTAATGGAATCACCGATGGTATCTATACCACAGTTGAAGTTGTGTTAATTATAGAAGAGAGAAAAAACCCAGACTAAATGTGAGATTACCAAGAAAGTAATGTGTCTCCATCTAACCGAGGGTCCCAAAACTTGTGAAGCAATTTTGGGAAGTCGTGAACTTGGGCTGTAAGCCTACCCATGCCGATGCTTTCTAATATGTTCTTATTAATTGTTTGAGGAGAGGGGATTCTAATGGTGGACCAAACCTCTGCGATTCCTGTGTAGTAATAGTGCCCATGGATCCATGGGGAGTGGTCTATTTAATAGAGCTGTGATACATTTCCAGAGGGGAACAATTTTATTATTATTATTTTATTATTTATATAGCACCATCACATTCCGTAGCACTGTACATTGGGTGGACTAACAGACATGTAATTTTAACCAGACAATTGGACGTACAGGAACAGAGAGGTGGAGGGCCCTGCTTAATGAGCTTACATTCTAGAGGGAGTGGGATATTGTGACGCAAAGGGTAAACGTAGGGGTACGAAGTAGGTTGTTTGAAAAGTTTTTTATTGAGGGATTAGTAGGTAATTTTTGATAGTTGCAGGAGAGGAGTCATGGGGGTGGGGGATAAAAACCTGCTTACAGTTTAGCTGATATGCTTTTTGAAGAAGTGAGTTTTCAATGATTTTTTGACTGGTCTTACGAAGAAGGGAAGGGCGTTCCACAGAAGAGGTGCAGCCCTGGAGAAATCTTGGAGCCGAGCATCAGAGGTGGGAGTACGGACAGAGGATAGACGTAGGTCTTTGGCAGAGCGTAGGGGCCTCGACGGGACATACTTGTGTATTAGGGAGGATAGGTAGGTTGGAGTAGCATTATGTAGGGACTTGTAAGCAAGCACCAGAATTTTAAATTGAGCCCTATATTTAACTGGAAGCCAGTGGGGAGGTGTAGGAGGTGCGAGCAGATAGGAAAATGAGCGGGGAGGTGTGGGAGGTGCGAGCAGATAGGAAAACGAGCCTCGCCGCTGCATTCATTATAGATTGCAGCTGTGCAATCTGAGAACATGTAAGACCACTGAGAAGGGTATTGCAGAAGTCAAGGCGAGAGCATGGACCAGCGCATGGACCAGCACCTTAGCCACATCTGGGGTTAAATAGGGGCGAATGCACACTATGTTTTTGAGATGGAAGCAACAGGATTTGGTGATTGATTGGATATGAGGGGTGAAGGGGAGGTTGGAGTCAAAAAGAACACCCAGACAGTGAGCCTGTGAGGTAGAGGTGATGGTAGCGCCGTTGACTTGGAGGGAGACAGACACAGGAGTAGTAACACTTGAGGGAGGAAAGACCAGAAGTTCTGTTTTGGACAGGTTGAGTTTAAGGAAGTGAGCAGCCATCCAGTTGGAGATCGAAGAGTCAAGATGGGTCAAGATGGGTGGAGAGAGATCAGGAGAGGACAGGTAGATTTGCTTATCATCCGCATAGAAATTATAACAGAAGCCAAAGGAGCTGATGAGTTTCCCAAGGGAGGCAGTATAGATAGAGAACAGTAGGGGACCAAGGACAGAACCTTGGGGGACGCTGACAGAGAGTGGTTGGGGGGAAGAGACAGAGTCAGAGAAAGAAACACTGAAAGAGCGCTGGGAGAGGTAGGAGGAGCACCAGGAGAGAGCAGTATCCTGTAGACCAAAATTATGGAGAATGTGAAGAAGCTGTTGAAGATCAACAGTGTCAAAGGCAGCAGAAAGATCAAATTAAGATCAGATTAAATCGTTGGATACTTTGGTCACAGCGTTTCGACAGAATGACCAGCACAGAATCCAGACTGAAGGGGGTCAAGCTGGATTCCAGAAAGTCAGTCAGTCTGATGTACACAACTCTCTCGAGGATCTTGGAGGCAAATGGCAATAGTGAGATAGGGCGGTAGTTGGATGGGAAGTTGGGGTCAAGGCTGGGCTTTTTCAGAATTGGGTTTACAGTTGCATGTTTGAAGGGAGAGGGAAATGTGCTAGAGGAAAGGGAGAGATTGAATATTTTAGTGAGAGGAAAAGCAAGAGAGGGAGACAAAGTGCGGATGAGATGCGAGGGAATAGGATTGAGGAAACAGGTGGTAGGGATTGAGGACCGGAGCAGAGCATGAACCTCTTCTGCTGTAGCAGGTGCGAATAAGTGTAGAATGGTGGAGGGAGTGGGGTTTGGTGATGTATTGGTGGGGGAAGGAGAGAGATTAGCAATCTCTTCTCTGATTGTAGATATCTTCTCAGTGAAGTGAGATGCAAAGTTTGTGGCAATCAAGGTGGTAGAAGGAGGGGGAGTAAAAGGGCCTCAAAAGTGTGAAATAGGTGTTTGAGTTGATGGGACAATGTATTTATGAGGGTGTTAAAGTAGTATACTTTTGCAGCGGAGAGAGCCAGGCTGTAGAAGCATAGCATACATTTATAGTGGAGGAAGTCAGATGCAAAGTGAGACTTTCTCCAGCAGCGTTCAGCAGTTCTAGAACATTTTTGGAGGTAACGGGTGAGCTTGGTGTGCCATGGTTGTAATTGGGGGCGCTTGCTGTGTTTAATTGCGAGAGGTGCCATGATGTCGAGTTGACAGGAGAGAGTTGAGTTGTAGAGGGAGGTTGCAGAGGTAGGGCAAGTTAGATTTGAGATGGGTAAAAAGGAGTTTGGAGTTTGGTGGAGAAATGCTGGAGATCAAGGCAGTTTGGGGCAGTTCCACCAGCAGCGAAAAAGTAACCGGTTAATCTGCATAGTTTCCAGCATAAATTGGTCGGTGTGTGTTGCATGGAAGCTTGACGCTGAGGTATAAAGTATCATCAGAAAAGCATTTTATATGCTTGTTTCAGGTGAGGGACACAAATGGTAATCGAGTTTTTGGATGTCAAGATGTCCGACCAGTCCGTGAGATCATCTGGGGACCTAGATCACATCCTGATGCTGAGATGTATGGGAGGGATATTTGAGATTGGTGTGTCACTAGCTCTCTCCTATCGGGCAGTGCTTTACTCTTTCCTCCAGCTCTGCTTCACTCCCACCCTATTTGATTGATATTTCCTGTCCTATCGTGTCTTATTCCCCACCTCCTATAGACTGTAAGCTCATTTGAGCAGGGTCCTCTTCAACCTATTGTTCCTGTAAGTTTTCTTGTAATTGTCCTATTTATAGTTTCATCCCCCCTCTCATAATACTGTAAACTGTTACAGAATCTGTAGGCGCTATATAAATAGCAATAATAATAATAATAATAATATATATACAGGACCGGCCTTCGGCCTTTAGGCACCCTGTGTGAAAAATCCCTGTCATCCATGTATAGTGTGTGTGTATTGGAGTGTAGTGATTGTATAGGGGATTTATTAAATTAATAATGATTTAAAAACAAATATGCATTCCTCCTGTCCTGTTGTTACCTAGTTTGGAGAGGGGCATGCTGATCTGAATCTGGTCTGCCCCTCCACTGGGTACAGACCATGTGTAACTGTCTAGCAAGCTGAGGGACTTGCAGCGTCCTGTGGTAATCTGCGACAACGTTCTGATTATCCCGAGCTAGGAAGACAGCTACTTATGGTCTGCAGCCAACAGAAGTTCAGGCCAGAAGTGCCAGACTGCCTCCCCTACATTACAGAGGAGCAGACTAAGTATATCACATAATACCGTGAGTGGTTTTGCTTTGGAGCTCTGGATTATAATTATTATTATGATATTTATAGAGCGCCATCAAATTCCACAGCGCTTTACAATGGGTGGACGAATAGACATGTAGTTGTAACCAGATAAGTTGGACACACAGGAACAGAGGGGTTGAAGGCCCTGCTCAATGAGCTGACATGCTAGAGGGAGTGGGGTAAAATTACACAAAAAGGTAAGGATAGTATTAGACTAGTGACAGTTGCAGAAGAGGAATCAGTCAGGAGCTATTAATTTAATTGATCAGTTTAATTGATACGCTTTTATGAAGAAGTGGGTTTTTAACGATTTTTTGAAGGAGTGGAGACTGGGCGAGCATCTAACGGAGGAGGGAAACGAGTTCCACAGGAATGGTGCAGCCCTCGAGAAATCTTGAAGGCGAGCATCAGAGGTGGGAGTACGGACAGAAGATAGATGTAAGTCTTCAGCAGATCGTAAGGGCCCAGACGGGACATACTTGTGTATAAGGGAGGATAGATAGGTGGGAGCAGCATTATGTAGAGATTTGAACCAGATTTGAAAGCAAGAACCAGAATTTTAAATTGAGCTCTATATTGTATAGGAAGCCAATGCAGGGACTGACAGAAGGGTGAGGCAATATAATTATATTAATTATTTTTAATAATTAATTAAATATAATTATTTACCTTGACCTCTTTGGAATAAATATTTGCAGTAATGCGCTACTTCTCCATTTATCACAGAGCTCCACAACAATAAAACTCCCAGTAATATGGAGCTCTGTGACAAGATCATACACTACACAACAATACAACTCTAAGTAATGTGTCTATTAGTGTATCACCGAGCTCCTTAACTATAAAACACAGAGTAATGTGGATTTTATATACCAGAGCTCCACTGTAATACATCTCACTATAATATGATGTAATGTTTGTGTTGTCTGTGTATGCGATAGGTGTGATGACTGGGTTGTGATATGTATGCTATGTGTTGGCTGAATGTGATATTTGTAATGCGTGTATTAACTTTGTGTGAAATGCATGTATTGGTTGTATGTGCTATTTGTGCTGGATTTATTGGCTGTCTGTGACGGGTATTTAATTCAGATAAAATATGCATTAGGCCTATGTGTGAATGCAGGTGTATATTTTTGCAGAGTTATGTGCACACAGTCCCACAGTTAGATGCACACAGTTAAACATATACACTGTCAAATCCACTACATGCACATAGTTGCAGGCATATAGTCACATACTGAGGATCAGGCAGAAACACACAGGAACATGAAGTCACACACATACACAGTTACAGGCAGATAAACACACTCACACACAATTAGAGGCAGACAGCCATACACAGCCACACACACACAGCCACACATACAGTCTTACACACACATACATGCAGACAGTCACACACACGCATACACAGGCAGGCAGTCACACAGGCAGACAGCCACACACACAGAGGCAGACAGCCATACACACACAGGAAGACATCCACACATAGAGGCAGTCACACACAGGCAGTCTCACACACACACACACATACACAGGCAGTCACACATAGGCAGACAGTCACACACACACACACACACAGGCAGACAGTCCCACACACAGGCAGACAGTCGCACACACACACACACACACACAGGCAGACAGTCACACACACACACACTCACACACACAGACAGACAGTCATACACACAGGCACACACACACACATGCACACAGTCATAGGCATAGACACACACAGGCAGACAGTCAAACATACAGACAGACAGACACACACACACAGGCTTACAATCACACATAGTGACCTCTGTTCATTATGGAAGAGTGGAGACAGTGCTGCTCCTGGAGACTGGTTGTTGGGAGAAGCAGGGACTCCTTATTGCTTGCCCTGCAGCAGTTACCTGGCTCTTTTAGCTCCGCCCCTGCTTAGAGAGTTTATGAGAGAGACTTTACAAGATAGTCTCAGTGAAGGCTGTGTACATATGTGCATGTAGCTGTCTCTCTCTCTCTCTCTCTCTCTATATATATATATATATATATATATATATATCTCAGACAGACAGCTACAAGCACATATGTAAAAATATATATCACTCTCCTAGCACCTTTTATGGGAGTGTAATATATATATATATATATATATATATATATATATATATATACAGGTGATACTCAAAAAATTAGAATATCGTGCAAAAGTTCATTTATTTCATTAATGCAACATAAAAGGGGAAACTAATATATGCAATAGAAGCATTACATGCAGAGCAAGATAGTTCAAGCTGTGATCTGTCATAAGTGCGATGATTATGGCTTACAGCTCATGAAAACCCCAAATCCACAATCTCAGTAAATTAGAATATTGTGAAAAGGTGCAATATTCTCTGCTCACAGTGTCCCATTCTAATTAGCTAAGTAAGCCATAACACCTGCAAAGGGTTTCTGAGCCTTTCAATTGTCTCACAGTCTGGTTCAGTAGGAATCACAATCATGGGGAAGACTACTGACCTGACAGTCGTGCAGAAAACCATCATTGACACCTTCCATAAGGAGGGAAAGCCTCAAAAGGTAATTGCGAAGGAAGTAAGATGTTCCCAAAGTGCTGTATCAAAGCACATCAATAGAAAGTTATGTGGAAGGGAAAAGTGTGGAAGAAAAAGGTGCACAAGAAGCAGGGATGACCGCAGCCTGGAGAGGAATGTCAGGAAAAGGCCATTCAAATGTGTTGGGGACTTTCACAAGGAGTGGATTGAGGCTGGAGTCAGTGCACCAAGAGCCACCACACAGAGACAGATCTTGGACATGGGCTTCAGATGTTGTATTCCTCTTGCCAAGCCGCTCCTGAACAACAAACAACATCAGAACCGGCTTACTTGGGCTAAAGAAAAATAGATCTGGTCTGTTGCTGAGTGGTCCAAAGTCCTCTTTTCTGAAGAGAGCAACTTTTGCATCTCATTTGGAAACCAAGGACCCAAAGTCTGGAGGAAGAATGGAGAGGCACACACTGCAAGATGCTTAAAGTCCAGTGTGAAGTTTTTCACAGTCTGTGTTGATTTGGGGAGCCATGTCATCTGCTGGTGTTGGTCCACTGTGCTTCATTAAGTCCAGGATCAACACAGCCATCTACCAGGAGATTTTGGAGCACTGTATGCTTCCTTCCACAGACGAGCTTTATGGGGATGCTGACTTCATTTTCCAACATTTTCCAACACTGCCAAAAGCACCACAGCCTGGTTCAATGACCGTGGGATTACTGTGCTTGATTGGCCAGCAAACTCGCCTGACCTGAACCACCTAAAGAATCTATGGGGCATTGCCAAGAGAAAGATGAGAGAGATGAGACCGAACAATGCAGAAGAGCTGAAGGCCGCTATTGAAGCATCATGGTCTTCCATAACACCTCAGCAGTGCAACAGGCTGATAGCTTCCATGCCATGCCGCATTGAGGCAGTAATTGGTCCAAAAGGGGCCCAAACCAAGTACTGAGTCCATATATATGGTTATACTTTTCAGAGGTCCGATATTGTTCTATGTACACTCCTTGTTTTATTGATTGCATGTAATATTCTAATTTACTGAGATTGTAGATTTGGGGTTTTCATGAGCTGTAAGCCATAATCATCGCACTTATGACAAATCACGGCTTGAACTATCTTGCTTTGCATGTAATGCGTCTATCTCATATATTAGTTTCCCCTTTTACGTTGCATTACTGAAATAAATGAACTTTTGCACGATATTCAAATTTTTTGAGTATCACCTGTACATTTGTCATTTTAATTCTCACATTTGGCAAGAAGAAACCTAGTAAAGGATGTAGAAAACAGGGGTCACATAGCTGTAGGGGAATGTGACAGTGCGTTTGAATGTTTTCTTGTGAATTTATTGTTTGAGCACCTGAGAGAAATGTATGTGGGATAGGAACGCTTGTGGTTAAATTAATTAGGTTATTGGATCTGTTCATTGTTGATTGTGTTGAATATTAGGGTGTAGCTTATTTTTAATAAAATGGATATTTGGCTTAAGTTGCAAAAATGTGTAGGCTATTAAATGCATCTGTTTTGTTATGAAATCATGTATAATTATGATCTGCTCAGTGATAACCACATTTATCTCGTCCTAAAGTGGTGTCCTTGAAAATACTTGGTTACATAATATTTTGGAAAGCTAAGCCTGGTCAAACAATTAAACAAGAACATTGATGATTGAATTATATTAGTGATTTATTAATCTTAATTTAATTCACACAAACTGTTACAGAGCATTAGCAGTCGTATCATAGTCCCGTTATTCAACAAGCAACATTCTTTTTTTTTAGAGATAAGAATAGGATGAGCATCTCCCTCTGATGAATGACGTTGTATGTTAACAGGTGACTAGACCAAGGACCAAGGAAGGACCATAACATGCTGGTGTGTGATGGGGCCTTCTAATGTAACCATCACACTTTGCTTGAATAAACCATTATGAAACTTGAATTTCACAATGGATTGTGGTTATCTGTAATGTTTATTGTGTACAGCTACACGTCAAGTTATATTCAGGTGTTTCAAAAAGAATGGATATTATTTTGATGAAAATTATGAATTATTATTACTGTGGACATTGCTGCAGCAGAACATCTGGACATCATTGAGGGCGGTGTCATCTCCTTTGCCTTGTTCTCCTTCAACTTTGGTCAAGATCCCACAGATACCATGTTTGCAAGAACTGCTCCAATCTTTATATGTTCCCCAAGGCAGTCCAACTCCTTCTATCTGACGACCATCTGAACATCTAAACTTGATGTTGTTGACTGTGGTATCATCACCTTTCCCCTGTGGTGGTTCCACTTTCAATGAGAAAGAAACCAAGTGACCATTTAAACAATAAAAAGGAGATGTCCATGAACCCCACCTAGGGATATAATAAAAAGTAAACATAAATAAGAAAAATAAGTGTATTCTTAATATCAAGTTAAAAACATAATGATTTTGATAGTATGTTTAGGTGAAGAGCACAGCTTAAACAAAGAAATGGTGTGTTCATATGCAAACCACAATCATGATTAGAAGAACATTTTTGGATAGCTAGACATGCTGACTTACGGTCCTTGTGAAGACGAAATTGTCTTTTCTGGATAGCTTTTGTAAAGGGGAATGCAGTGTAATGTAATCCCATTCACAGCTGTGTCATCACCATTCCCCTGTACCGATTCTGCCTAAATACACAAGGATGGATACAAAATATAACAAACATAATCATTTGAGAAGATATTATAAATTCCACACTTTGTCATTATTTTCCTAAATGTCTACTTTATGTCTCTATCGTTAAATCCCTTAACATGAGACTGACACTTTAACACACTGAAGGCTACATCATGTAGTACGGGCAGTACTCAGGTAAGTGGCCCAGCCAAGCAGAAGGGCCCACTAGAGTATTGTATTGAAGTTTAAACCCCTTATTTGAAA